AAATAATTCCAAATTAATCTCTTTATCCCTAGGAAAGTGAATTAAGACAAGCTGATAGGGCAAAAGCTGGTGGTTTGAATTTAGAAAAAATTATAGCAGTCCAGGGTGCACAAAGTGTTCTGATGGTGTTAGACACCAAGTCCAGGAAATGACTGCTGGAAGGGACTTGATTGCACAGCTTTGATGGAGTTGGTGGAAGGAGAGCGAGGGAGCAGGCAGAGAGGGAGGGGAGATGGTGGGAGCAGCCCAGCAGAAGGGCAGGGGAAGGGACAGGGGGAGCAGGCTGAAGAACACGGGTGAATGTCCCCTGGCAGCTGGGGAGCTGCCTCACAGGTGGCCAGAGAGGTGATCTATTTCTGGCCACCAGGTTACCCCAGGGCCGCTCTGTCTTTGACTCAGGCGGCTTCTTCGCTTTCCTCTTCCCAGAATAGCAGTGGACAAAGCTGTGGGCTGGGCTGGGTACAGCCCAGGTGAGCTGATCTCCGGCACAGCATGAACTGCAACCGAGAGTTCAGTGTTTTAATTAGGCTCAGCAGGAGGGGAGGGAAGGGGATTTAGATCAATGAGTGTCTCGGACACAAGTGACAGAGCCTGACCTTGACATGCTTAGTCTGTGGGTAGGCAGAGGAGTTCAGTCAGTGAGGATGCTGAGAGGGGGTGGGAGTGGCACTCCGGCAAAGCAGTGATTTATGTTCAGCAGAAACCATCATCTGTTCTTCACTGCTGTTGGATATCTAAGCAGTTACATGCTAAAACACCTTTGAAAGCTTTTTAAGCCTCTGAAAGCATCATGGAGAAGTTATCTACAGACTGTGGCATGTCAGAATCTCTTTGGGAGTAAGCCTGTTAAAAAAAAAAAAAAGTTAATTGTGTTTCAGCTCACATTCACTTGCCATTTGAATGCTTGGTGGTCTCTGTTAGTGAAAATAACTTTAATGATTACAGTAGTACTTTGGAATGATGTGGTACCACTGTGATGTTCTAATGTGTCTGAAAGAGCAGGAGTGAAGCTGCACAGTTGCTGTGCTCTGCACAGACAATCCAATATGGATTTTCAGTGACTCCTTGGGTGGGCTTTGGCTGACCCACTTTCACTCTGTGTGAACATAACTGCGTGACAAATACTTTAGACCCAGATGGACAAAAAAACCACTGGAGTCAGTGATAACATAAGGTATCTCATGTTATTCAAAGATATCTAGATGCACTCTTTGCTCATTAATATAATTTTGTGAGGGGGCTTAGAATAGATTATCGGATACTTTCATGCATCTGCAATGCTAATCCACTGCCTCTGCATGTATTAAAAATGTTATCCTACCACTTGAAACTGAGATAAGCAGATACCACAGAGTTAAATATCCCAAATAGCAACACAAAATGTTTTCATGGTTCTTATCAGTTATTTAGTCTCAGTAGTAGAGAATGAGGGGTTTTTTGGTAAGAGGAAAACATAAGCTTTGTGCTGGAATTCACAGTTTTTGCTCATCTGATGCTATTGGTCCAGCATCTTAGAACTAGACCTCTTATGGATATAAATACAGCTTTGAGAACATAATTTTTGGACCTCTAATGTAAACTTTTGCTTTTTGTCCTGAAAAATATCATATCCTTTCTGCAAAACATTTACCTGATAAACAGACACAGTCTGTCCTACATAGTAACTTCAGACAAAGCACACCCAGGCTTCCCTCTTGCCTCTTGCTCCAGCAAATACGTTCTTTGAATTCATGCCTGCCCTTTCTTTCAACTGCTGCGAAATATAGCTTGAGGAAACTAAATCTGTTTCCATGATTTCAGTCTACCTCGTCAGCCTTTTCTCAGCTCCCTAGAGATAACAAATTGGAATGTGAAATTTTGCTGCCATGGGTCAGTTGCTATCTGACAAATACAAACACTGGGGGCTGAAACTCTGGTCTGCTCTATAAATATTGATTTATGAAGAATTTGAGATGGAAGTCATATTAGTATCCTAAATTAGAAGGAAATTTGAAGCTTTTTGGTGTCTTTTCCTTGGTTGTGGTTTTTTTCTTTTTTTTTTTTTTTTTAATTGGCGATTCTTTATGGATTGTCTGTATTTATTTATCGATACTGATTATTATAGTGGTTTACCACCGCATTTGCCTCAATACATTGCATAATCCTAAATGATCAGTTTGGGATTCTGAGTTGCTCTTCTTTGAGCAACTTTTATTGCTTTTCTTGGCTTAACTGCAGACTGTCTCCACCCTCTTTCCTTCTGCAACTGATCAAATTCTGTAAAGAATTCTCTACTTTGGATAGACTATCGCTTCCCACCCATGCTGTTCTCACTGAGGTTGGAAATGTTATTAATCTAATTTAATGTGGGGAAAATCTTGGCTAACCCTTCAAAACAATCTTTCAAGTCTTGTAATTCAATAAAGTCCTTATTTACAATAGCAATAGCTATTTCTCCTGGTACTGTCCAAAATGAGTCCTCTCTTGTTACAAGAGAATGAAGCTTTGTTTTCCGTTTTCACAGCAAAATGGTGCTATTTTATTTTTCAGTTTGGGAAAAGTGCAGCATAACACTGCTTAAAAGGTTTTCTAATAAAAGAAGCAGCTGTTATTGTCCACATTATGCTATCTTTTAATGGCTTTTGTGCCAGGGACCGAGAGAGGAAGGCAGGCAGTCATATACAACCTGATGAGTGTAAAAATGTTATTCTGAAACTTGGATTTTCCACTTCTTTCCAGTCTTAATCATGCTTATTCTTACACAGCAACACATGAATGCTGAATTTCAGTTTTGTGCATTGATTAAAGTTTGTGGATTATTTCTTTCTTTGGACTCAGAATTATCTAAGTACAAGATAGTGTTGTGTGATGATGTGGATAAAAACATGTCTCAAGAACTGCCATTTCAGATGTATACAGTGCTCCTGACCAAGGGTGATTTTACTGAGGTCTCAGTTAGATATGTTTAAAGCTGATTTCCTTACACAAACACACAAAGTGTGAGTGGTGGCAATATGGAAATTGTAAATGGAACCTTTGGAAAGCAATACCGCACTGAGGTGTTGGCTGTCTTCCCTTAGGACCTCCAAAGAGCAGCTGGGAGGAAGCAAGAAACTCTAGATTTGAAAAGAAATGTCATCTGGGGTGACCTGTAACTTAGTGTTGTCCTTGATGGTTTCATGGCAATTATCTTGGATATCACTTGACCATACCAGCAATGCAATTATATCTCACCTATCCCCTCCGTCCCCCCATATAAAAGTCAAAGCTGAAAGTAGCTTTTCCTTCCTGTGGTAATTCTGGTGTTTTTCAAAGCACTGTGGACATGTTTGAAAGTAGTAAGGGCTTTGAATGAGTGTTTGACATGGGCCTAAATCTACAGCAGAAATTTCCAGATATCCTTTTTCCCTAGTGGGCTGCTTGTTTGGGAGTGTTTTAGAAGGACAGCAATTCGGTGCTTCATGTACTTTTCTCCTGCAACAACTTGGTGAGTTTTTTTCCGACTACTTCACGAAATGGTCCTGAAAGTTGTTTTCCTCATTCTACATGGTCTGTGAGTGTCAATCACAGATCAGGGCCTCATTTGTGAGGAACTGAATTTGTGTCAAGATGAACACATCAGTCTGGACTCCCAGACAACCAAAATCTAGGCACTACCATTTTCAGTGCTTTTAGGTTCCATTTCCTGCCCACCATTGCAGTTCAGACATGTATGAACAAAGTAGTAGCTCCACTCAGCTTTTCTCTGTGATTCACACAGAGTGAACTTAACTCGGGAGTAGGGCTGTAAGTGCTGGCAGCAATGTGCTGCTGGGTTGGGGTCATCTGTAGCACATGGCACGATCACAGCCTGTGCATCTACTGCCTGGAAAGGGAAGAATAAAAGGGTTTTCGGTGGGAGAAAGTAGAAAAAATTGTGAATCTGGGGCTTCATCAATACTGATGAAGTCAGGGGACCACGGGCCTGCCTGCCATGCCAGTGTAAGGAAGGCTTCACCAGCATAGCTCAGACTTTTTTAGAGATCCCAGAAGACTATTTGATCATTTATTCTGACTCTCTCCCATATAAATCAGATTATAGTATTTCTCACAATACCCTGTGGGGAGGTTTAGGTCATAGCTTGGGTTAGATTTTATTATGTGTCTGTTCTCTGTCTTGGAGATTAGGATTTTGTACTGTGTCGGCAGAAAGCAGAGGATATTGAGGGTACACTCATTCCTGGAAAAGGACACCTGGTCCATCTCCAAGCAGCCTGGAGACTGTGTTCCATTAGGACTACATTCTAGAGGAGAGTTACCACAGAAGGACCCCCTGCCCCATCCCCACTGCACAGCCATTCTGCATCTGGAACTGTTCCTTTTGCTAGTGCACTCTTAAGACAATGAAAAACAGATTTAGATGGGGTTTTACAAACATACATATATATACACACACACGCACATATATATATATGTTTCTCCAGTCTTTTCCCTAGATGATCTTTTCTATCTATATGATCTCGATATCTATGTTTCTCTGTTAAAAGGACTTGTGCCAAGAGAAGACCCAAAGGAATAAATTGGTTTCCTCTGTGCCTCAGTCATGAAGAGCCGTGTTCCTTGGTGCTGCCTTAAAGGATCCCTGCAGTGACTCAACCACCACAAGCCTGGCACCCCTTTCCTGCCGCTTTGCCCATCCCAGTGCCTGCCACTCGGTCGTGGGCCCTGCAGCAGGTCAGCATCCACAGCTAAGCAGTAAGGAACTAAAGCTTCAAGTGCCCTGCTAACAGAGCGTCACCCAGGCATAATCCAGGCCCTGACTCAAATTGACAAGGACAGGCTGGGCTCTGAAATAATCTCTTTAAATAGCAGCAGCCATGTCTTTCAAAGGCACTTCCCCCCACAGCCAGCGCTGAGAGCTGCTTACAGCACGTCACCTGCTATTTCCCACCCAGGCAGTGCAGGGCTGACACTTCTCACAGGCAAGTGTGTCCCCTGCCAGCAGTCTCCCAGCTTTGCTTTGCACCAGGAGTTACAATGAATTTTGCAGCACAGTTTCTCTACTCCAGGGTGTTAAAAAACAGAAGTCCCAGGGAGCGCTTCAGGGAAGATGAAGAATACGACCCTTTCTGGCAAAGGTTGGAGAATATTGCTGTCTGACTTAGAGCTAGAGCTCTCCTTTATCCCCCTCAGGGGTCACGGTCAGCCCTTGGGGTCCACCCAGGGCCAGGCCCATGGACATGACAACCCCTGGACCCCTCCTGCCTCCTTATGGTGTCGTAGTTGGAGTTTTGCTTCGCCTCGTTGCTTATTTAGTCGCTGTGCTGTATAGGTAATGCTTTCTTTTTCCTTTCCTTACTTTCTAAAAAAAAGTATAAAAAACCCAAACAGGAAATTGTGATTTTCCAGTATCTCCAAGGGTTCTGTGGATATGAGTTGCTCTTGGAGTCATCCACTGGAAGAAGGGGAGATTTGAATACTTATAGGCCATGGAGTTCAGCTTTTTTATTTCTTCATGAGCACAGTATCAGAAATAATCTTAGAAAGGCTAATGGACTGCTGAAAATTTATCTTGGGTTACCATTTGTCAGATCCTGTTATTACAGGTGTTCTGTGGTTGTCCTTGTTATGGTGCTTATGGTGGTCTTGAATTCCTGTTTTCAGGAAGATGCAGATGGAATTTAAGAGTAATTTAGTGCCCTTGTGTAGCATGAACTGAGGGTGTGCATCCACGTGGCATGGTTGTGTTGTGCAACCTCATTCCTAACCTTTTCTGTAGTTGTTTTCTCCTCCAGTTTTATTATCTGGACACCACTAGCAAGATCACAACCTGCTTTTGCCAGATGTAGTACAAACAAGAGAAAATTCTTGTTTCCTGCATCTTCCCAATAGTCACAGATGTTGCTAATATTTAGAACACAAATTGTTTCAGTGGGTTCAATGCTGTTAATAAACCCTCATGGAACACCAAATGGGAAGACAAGATCACATTTCTGCACTGCCAAAATGGCTTGCCCAAAGTTGCACATGATGTGACCTGTTCTGCAGTAAAACTGTGAATCTTAAACCAGTCCTTTCAGCACAGGACCACTCTTTCCTCTACTTTGATTCGTGCAATTTGTTCTTTATTACAAGTGCATTATGGAGATGTGTTAGTCACCAGAAAACCTCTAAACTCAGAATACATTCAGTTTAGGGAAGAAGTTTAAATACTGCCAAACATGCCAAGCAGATGCCAAATGCTGTGCAGTGTTTGATAGTGATCATTTGACATTGACAGCTGTGAATGTCATTTAAGAACTTTTGAGAGGGATGGGTCTGTGTGAGGGACAGTTGGTTACCTCTGCTTCACCACCTTCTATGAGGGGTGGCCTTCTGAATTGTTCTTGCGTGCAGACTACTTTTTCCAATGTTATGTATTCAGCAGCTGACACCCAGTTGCCACTGCCAGCAGTAAGCAATGACATTTATATAGTGTGTACAGAAGGCTGGCAGTGGATTATGACCACAGATGAAGGCAAATATAGTGCTAGGCTCAGGCTCTGGTAAATCTGACAAACTAAGGAGAGATTTTTATCAGAGGTGATAATGCAGCTTGGTTATTCCTTGCATGAACCTGAGCTTGCTTTGTTGCTGGTGTAGCATCACATGGTTTTGTCAGACCTGTGTACAGGGAGTAGAGTTAAAAAGGCCTGCTTAGTCTCAAGGTTTGGTTATTATGCACCTATCTGTGCTGGATGGTCCCAGTGCATATACTTTTGTCATACAGGCTGGTTACTAAGCCCTGATCTCTTTGTCTTTAAGACACTCTAATAAGTCACCCTGCGGAAGTCTTAGGCAAGTCACTCGATCTGTCTGTGCCCCAGTTTCTGTCAATAAAGTTGAGATAATATGTGCTGAATTTGTCTGTCTGTCTAGAGGAAGATGTTGGTGATTCCTGTGTGATTTAAGAACCCTGCAGTGCAGGGTACTCAGACGCTATATAGTGCAGTAACCTAGAATTCCTGGCAGTGAAGACGACATCTGTTAGGATGCTCCTTGCCATTTTTATCTTAGCAAGCTTCAGTTTTTCTACCATTTCTCTTTCATAAAGTTCCACTTGCACAAGTTGCTGAGATGCTTTTAATAATTGCTACTATTGCAGCATTTGAATGTTTGGAGACAGGGAGAAAGTAGAAAAGTTAGGATGGAACAGGAATGTTTCAGAGCTTTTGAGAAAGGAGATTGCAACAAACAAGGACGGTATCAGAGGAGTGCTTGGACATGGAATTATAGGGATTAATGGAGCTGGGGAAGTTCTGGGTAAAAGGGATTTGGATGAGGGAAAGGGACTTCTCTGTCATATCCTGGAATTACCTCTTCCTCACTCCTGTGAGAGGAAATCCCAGCTGCAGTCACATTGCAGTCATAAGCCAAGCAGGTTGCTCCCCCTGCCTCACCCCGCACACATGACACGCCTCTGCTCAACACTTGGAGGAAAGAGACAGAAGTGACTTTAAAGAGGTCACCTTTTGTTGTAGTAAGTGTTCTGAACTTGCAGACATAAGACCTGAGCCCATTTACCCAGAAAGCAGATGACAAATATGTCTAAAACTGTATCTTACCAATGTCTGTTGGTCACAGTCTCCAGGAAGGTGTTCATGGCATCTGAAGATGATGGCAACATATAGGTATGAGCTTAAAAACCCCCTACGCCCAAAACATAAAAGAAGGAAATAAAAAGTCCACATATAGAGAACATGTGTATATGTGTGTTGATGAGTTAATTACAGGCTAGCCCTTGTTCACTGAGACAGTTTGAAGGGGTATTCAAGCTTAACATTTTACCACTGATCAGCCCAAGCAGGGCATTGGAGTTGGAAATTCATGTCATAGCAAATGGATACATGGATGCTAAAATACTCTGCAGAACTTGTACCATACTGTCAGTCCCTCTTAATGGTGAGTATCATTGTGAATGCAGATGATAAAAGCTGCTGAAGAAATGATGAAGAAATGCCAAGTTTTCGGTCTTGCACTAAAATTTTTCCTTTTGTGACGATTTCATTTCCATCTGCAAAGCAGTATAGTAACATGGGAATGTATGTCCATAATTCCAACTCCACATCTGCCTCAAAATATGTTGTTGGGCTCATTTTGAAAGAGGTACAAAAGCTGCCAAATGGGCCAAATGCCGACGAAGGGTACATCTGCAATCAAAATGGCAACACTGGACAGGCCAAAGAGAAGTCTAACTCTGTGTGTTCTCTAGTAGTGACCAGTAACAGGAGCAGGGAGAAAAAAAAAAGCCAGCTAAGAAGCTTTCTCTCATATGCTTTCATGGAGTCTGCCATGTGAGTGTTTAGAGTCTTCCTAAATCTCAGATTGATTCTTGAATAGTGTGTTTACTGGTCACTACTTCCATTTAGTTGCACATTTTTTTAGGAGCCCATTTATATTGTTGTTGTTATTTATATTGTTGTTGTTCATCATAGAATCCTCTGGCAATGAGTCCTGCAAGCTAATTATTTTCCCTAAGAAGGCAACTTTTAAGTCTTCTGTCTGATACTTTGAGGCATTTATATGATCTCCCCCCTAACATTTACACTGGGAGAAACAATGACTAATCCTTCACAATTTGTTATTCCCTGGATGACTGTGACTGCTGATTTTTTGCTGCTTCAGTTTTAGAAGTTGAGGGGATCCAATACATCACTTTAACCTGTTTAGTCTGTTTCGTGGATCCTGAGGGAGGCAATCTGCATGTGCTTCACTCGATGGGGACATGTAACTGTCCCTCATTGCAGAATATCTGCTTGGACACTTCTTTCTCTGTATAACAAAGGCAACAGTTGTGGTCTTTAGGTGTAGCATGCACTACTGTTTTTTATCTTCCTAAATTATTTTTGCTGGGTTTATTATTTTGTTGGTTTATTAATATTATTATTCTTCAAAATTTGTTTTCCCTAGTGCTGTTTAACTTGATGAAAATTATCAGTACGTTCATGTTTTTTGCAATGG